GGAGATGTCTATTAAGTCTGCTTGGTCCAGATCTGAGTTCAGTTCCTGAATATCCTTGTTAATTTTCTGTCTTGTTGATCTGTCTAATATTGACAGTGGGGTATTAGAGTCTCCCACTATTATTGTGTGGGAGTCTAAGTCTCTTCGTAGGTCATTAAGAACTTGCTTTATGTATCTGGGTGTTCCTGTATTAGGTGCATATGTATTTAGGATAGCTACCTCTTCTTGTTGGATTGATCATTTTACCATTGTGTAATGCCGTGCTTTGACTCTTTTGATCTTTGTTGGTTTAAAGTCTGTTGTATCAGAGACTAGGATTGCAAACCCTGCTTGTTTTTTGCTCTCCATTTGCTTGGTAAATCTTCCTCCATCCCTATATTTTGAGTCTATGTGTGTCTTTGCACATGAGATGGGTCTCCTGAATACAGCACACCAATGGGTCTTGACTCTTTATCCAATTTGCCAGTCTGTGTCTTTTGATGGGGCATTTACCTCATTTGCATTTAAGGTTAATATTGTTATGTGTGAATTTGAACCTGTCATTTTGATGCTAGCTGGTTGTTTTGCCTATTAGTTGATGCAGTTTCTTCATAGTGTCAATGGTCTTTTCAATTTAGTATGTTTTTGCAGTGGCTGGTACTGGTTGTTCCTTTCTATGTTTAGTGCTTCCTTCAGAAGCTCTTGTAAGGCAGGCCTGGTAGTGAACAAAATCTCTCAGCAGTGGGTTGTCCATATAGGATTTTATTTCTCCTTTGCTTATGAAGCTTAGTTTGTTTGGATATGAAATTCTGAGTTGAAAATTATTTTCTTTAAAAATGTTAAATATTGGCCCCCACTCTCTTCTGGCTTGTAGGGTTTCTGCCGAGAGATCTGCTGTGAGTCTGATGGGCTTCCCTTTGTGGGTAACCCAAGCTTTCTCTCTGGCTGCCCTTAGCATTTTTCCATTCATTTCAACCCTGGTGAATCTGATAATTATGTGTCTTGCAGTTGCTCTTCTCAAGGAATATCTTTGTGGTGTTCTCTGTATTTTCTGAATTTTTATGTTGGCCTGTTTTGCTAGGTTGTGGAAATTCTCCTGGATAATATCCTGAAGAGTGTTTTCCAACTTGGTTTCAATCTCTTTGTCACTTTCAGGTACACCAGTCAAACGTAGATTTGGTCTTTTCACATAATCCCATATTTCTTGGAGGCTTTGTTTATTTCTTTTCACTCTTTTTTCCCTAATCTTGCCTTCTCACTTTATTTCATTGAATTGGTCTTCAATCTTTGATATCCTTTCTTCTGCTTGATAGATTTGGCTATTAAAACTTGTGCATGCTTCACGACATTCCTGTGCTATATTTTCAGCTCCACCAAGTCGTTTATATTCTTTTCTATGCTGGTTATTCTTTTTTGAAGGTTCTTAGCTTCCTTAAATTGGGTTAAAACATACTGCTTTATCTCGGAGGAGGTTGTTATTACCCATCTTCTGAAGTCTGCTTCTGTCAATTTGTCAAACTCATTCTGTATCTAGTTTTGTTCCCTTGCTGGTGAGGAGTAATGATCTTTTGGAGGAGAAGAGGCATTCTGGTTTTTGGAGACTTCAGCCTTTTTTGTGCTGGTTTCTTCCCATTTTCTTGGATTTATCTACCTTTGGTCTTTTAAGTTGGTTTCCTTTTGATGGGGACTCTGAGTGGACGTCCTTTCTGTTGATGTTGAAACTATTTCTTTCTCTGTTAGTTTTCCTTCTAACAGTCAGGGCCCTCTGCTGCAGGTGTGCTGGAGTTTACTGGAGGTTCACTCCAGACCCTGCTTGTCTGGGAATCACCAGTGGTGGCTGCAGAACAGCAAAGATTGCTGCCTCTTCCTTCCTCTGGTAGCTTCATCCCAGAAGGGTACCTGCCAGATGGCAGCCAGAGCTCTCATGCATGAGGTGTCTGTCAGTCCCTGGTGGGAAGTGTCTCCCTGTCAGGATACACTGGGGTCAGGGAGCTACTAGAGGAGGCAGTCTGTTCCTTATCAGAGCTCAAGTGCTCTGCTGGGAGATCCATTGCTCCCTTCAGGGCTGCTGGGCAGGGACATTTAAGTCTGCTGAAACTGAACCCACAACCCCCCTTTTCCCAGGTGCTCTGTCCCAGGAAGGTGGGGGCTTTATTTGTAAGTCCCTGGTGAGCTACTTCCTTTTTTCAGAGATGCCCTGCCCATCAAGAAGGGAGTCTAGTGACAGTCTGCCTGCAGAGGACTTGCTGTGCTTCCGTGGGCCCCACCCAGATGGTGTGCAATCTTCCTGGTGACTTTGTTTACACAGGTGAGGTTAAAACCGCCTACCCAAGCCTCAGCAATGGTGGACACCTCTCCCCCCACCACTGAGATGGAGCATCCCAGGTTGAGCTCAGACTGCTATGCTGGCTGTGAGAATTTCAAGCCAGTGGATCTTAGCTTGCTGATTTTCATGGGGGTTGGATCTGCTGATCCAGATCACTTGGCTCCCTGGCTTCGGCCCCCTTTTTCAGGGGAATAAGCATTTCTGTCTTGCTGGCATTCCAGGCACCACTGGGGTATGAGGAAAAATTTAAAAACTGCTGTAGCTAGAATGGCCACCCAGTTTTGTGCTGGAAACCCGGGGTGCTGGTATTGTAGGCACCGGAGGGAATCTCCTGGTCTGCAGGTTGTGAAGACCATGGGAAAAGCATAGTAATTGAGCCAGAGTGCCAGAGTGTCAGGCAAAGTCCCTAATGGCTTCCTTTTGCTAGGAGAGTGATTTCTCCAGCCCCTTGTGCTTCCTGGGTGAGGCAACACCCCACCCTGCTTTGGCTCGCCCACCTTGGGCTGCATCCACTGTCTAATCAGTCCCAATGAGATGAACCTGGTACCTCAGTTGGAAATGTGGAGCTCACTCACTTTCTGCATTGCTCTCACCGGGAACTGTGCACCGGAGCTGTTCCTATTTGGCCATCTTGGCAGAAGTCTCCTAACCAATTGTATTTCTAAGAAGAAACAAACATATGGAAGAAGAAGAACCAAACACATGGAAACCCAAATCGAAATCCAATACACCACAGAAATTGAAATACTTAGGTATGTGCTTAAAAAAACATACACTCCATATGCTGAAAACTATGAAATGATAAAAGAAATCAAAGAAGACCTAAATAAATATAAAACCATATCATGTGCATACACTGGAAGACTCAGTATAGCAAAGCACTCAATTCTCCCCAAACTAATGTATAGATTTAACACAATTTCTATCAAAATCTTTGTAGGCATAGACAAGCTTATTCTAAAATTTACATAAAGAGGTGCATATCCTAAAATAGCTAAAACAATCTTGAAATGGAATAGTAAATCTGAAGGAGTCATTTTACCCTACTATGTACATACAATGATAAAGATCTGTACACAGATGTTCATAGCAGCTTTATTCATAGTAGGCAAATAGTAGATAGGACCCACATGTCCTTCAATCGGTCAACAGTTAAACAAATTATGCTGCATACCTACTATAAATCACACTTAGCAGTAAAAAGAAACAAACTTGGTACATAAGGCAACTTGAATTAATTTCAAGGACATGCTGAGCGAAAAAGTTAATTCCAAATGTTTATATAATGTATGGTTTCCTTCATATATTTTTGAAATTATAGATATGAAGAACAGATTAGAGGTTTCTAGGGTTTAGGGACCAAAGTGGGAAGAATGGGAAGGAAGTAGGAAGCAAGTAGATATGGGTGTAGAAAGCAATGTGAAATATCCTAATGGGGATAGAACTATTCCATATATTGCCTTAGGTGGTATACACAAGCCACATGTGATCAAATTACATAGAATTAAATGTACACACACAAACACAAAAAAATGCAAGTAAACCTGGGGAGATTTGAATAAGATAAGTGGATTGTATCAATGCCAATGTCATACTTGAGATATTGTACTATGGTGTTGCAAGATGTTAGCATTGGGAGAAGCTCAGTAAAGTGTACTTGGAATTTCTGTATTAATTCCACAACCACATTCAAATTACAATTATCTCAACAAAAACTTACATTAAAAAATCCTGCAATTTTTTTTTTCAAGAATAACACCTTACTCTCATCTTTAGCATCATAATAGCTTATTTGTTGACTGCTAATCGGGCTTGCATGAAGCCTCAGACAAAGTCTGCTGGCTTAAGCTAAGCTGAAACTGGTATGCTTTTTGATGTTTCTGATCTTCAGAGTCACTGATCACACTAGGACATTCTGACGTTTTCCAGAGGAGTTATCTGGTCTTCTGTGAGTTCCCTGGCACTATCAATGTGCAAGCATATTTTGGCATTTCATGAATGAGGTAGAGAAGGCTGGGGAGTGAACTAAATAGATACCAGATTGAAAGAAATAGATGAAGGATCTGGGGCTCTTTTCCCTGAAACAAGGTGACATGGAGGATATAATATCTGGGTTCAGATCCCTAGAGGGCTGTTTTGGGGCAGAAAAAGTGAGAGCTGAGTTTTTGACAAAGTTCCCAGTGCTGGACACATTAAACTGATGGTGATGATTTGGGGTGAGGAAAGTGGGAGTCTTTGGGCATTTTCTTCAGGCTGAGCTTGGTGGGTTAGTGGGCTGGGAAGGTCTTTATAAATGACCAAGTCCTTCTTAAGCTTTAGAAAAGCTGAGTGAGAACACATTCTGTTATGGAGGCTTTTCCTTCCCACCTTCCTCCTCTCTCTGAGGAAGGGAAGGGGCAAAGAGCCCCAGGATCTGCAGAGGGGCTCACTTCAGAAGAGAAAAAAAAAAAGGTGTGCTAGGCTGAGACTGGGCCTTCTCAGTGCCCCCTGGTGGAGGCGTGGGAACACCCACAGCTCAGGGGCCTCACCCTGGCTCCCATTTGAGTGGCAGGAAGGGATATAGGAAGACAGGCTGAGAGCAGGAACCCTAGCCTCGCCAGGCACCTGTCTGTCAGTCAGTCCTTCCAGGACTTCCCCGCAGGCGGGCCCCTCCTCTTGCTGTAATCGCTCCCAGAATGGCACTGGTAAGATAACACAGCCTGGGAAGAGGGGGTGGAGGGTAGCCTAAAATTAGCCCCTTGGACCAAGACTAGGGGCTGACTCCTAGTCTTTCAGCAGCATTGTTAACAGTGGGAACCGAGCGCCCCAGCTGCTACAGGCTGAGGCCATAGGGGCTCCCTAAGGAGGGGCCACCAGGGCCCCAGTGTTTTACAGAGTTGCGGTAGCAACGACCCCGGGCAGCACGGCCTCAGGCTGAAGCCCGGTGAGTACCTGGAGCCTAGGACCGGTTTGAGAGGAGTGACCCCTGCGGGCCTGCAGACCAGTGATCACCCACCACCCGTCGTAGGCTGTTTCCGCCGGGTCTGGGACATGGTGGGAGTTGAGGGAGGCGCTTGGAAGGTTGTTAGAATAACCCACCGGGAGGAGGGAGGAGGGAGGAGGGATATAATGTCAGTTTCCTGATTTGTGTGTCTCAAGAGGATATGTCTGCCTAGGGCCTCGGGTCTAAACAGACTGCTACTTGAGAGAAATTGCGATTATACACTACAGGGAGTGTAGAGATTTGTCTTTGTGTCCCTGTGTGATATTGGCTAGTCTGTGTGTATGGGTGCCTTGGCGTGGGTTTAAGTAGGTAAGGGCAGAACTCCTAAGGGTGGGAGAAGGAAGATGAGACTTAAAAACGTCCTACTGATGCCTGAAGGAATGCTCTAGGGTGCGCAGAAACCAACCACTTTCCTGTAGGAGTACTTAACCTGTATTCACAGACACTAAGAAGGCCTTGGATAGAGTTCAAGGGGTCCAGAAACTTAAATGAGTAGACAATTACCTTTTTTTCCCCTAACCTCAAACTAAAATTTACTGTTTCCTTCAAGGATGAATGCAGGCAGCAAATGACACTAGCCTTACAGGTTCCTGTAACTTGGTTACCAAAAGAAATCACAGATATTTCATATCATATTACAGTTGTGGCAGAGATCTTGAAATGTCATTTATTACCACTTAGAAATTATTACTAGACCTTGCTCTTACTCTATCATGCATTTAAAAATATTTTGACAGTAGCATTTCAATATTATTGATTTTCTTTAATTTTATGTAATAAAAACCATTCTGAAAGGGGTTTACAGACTTCACTAGTTTGTCACAGGAACCAATATCATAAAAAAAAAGGTTTATAACTCCTACATCTTTAGGATCAGGAAGAAGCTCCGTGCACATAGCAGACACATAATAACTCTTTGATTAATAAACTACAGCAAAGTGAGTTTAGGCAATAGGCTAGCTGGATTTTATCCTTATCTAATGGAGGTGCAATTCACTCCAGTGCCAAAGCCAGCTGGAGAGCATGGCTTGGTCTCCCTCTGGAGACTCATTATATGAGCTCTGTTGCTGGCTTTTGGTATGACCTCAGTGAGAGGTTTGGCATTTCCTTCTGCCACTCCCTGCCACTTTATCTCCCCAGACCCCAGTCCCCCCAAAAAAATATTAAGGGGGCAATCCCTACAGGTTATCAGAATAAATTATTTGTAAAGGAACCTTCCATTACCGAAGTCTCTGAAATTCAGCAAGACATTCAAAAGCTGAAGATCCTGGGAGCCGCAATGTGACTCTGTTGGAGTCAAGGGAGGGGGGATTGTGTTTGTGTTTTATGTCGTAATAGAAAGAAGAGGAGGAGGAGTAGAGAAATCTGGATTCCATTTCTGACTCTGATATTGCATTGATGTAAGGCATCTGGAAAACCCCTTACCCTCTCTGGACTCAGTTTCCTCCATCCACAAATTGGGGGTAATATTACCTATTTTGCTGCATGAAATTGCTTTGAAAAGCACAAGATTATAAGTGTATTCTGAGTTCTTGTTAATGAGACAACTAACAATAACAATCATGTGACCATACTAAAGTCCCTGCTCCACTCTGAACATTGGTTCCCCATCTCTAAATTGAAAAAATTAAAGGATCTACAAGGTCCATTCCAGCTCTGAGGTTCTAGGACATTAAGTAGGGAACAATAGCCATAGAAAATGGAGACCTAAGTAATCATCATCATCATCATAGTAAAAATAATTACTGATAACTACATTCAGGCACTATTCTAAGCACTTACTATGTACTAACTCATTTGATCCTAACAACCCTCCAAGGCAGGTACTATTATTATTTTGTCTTTACAGATGAAGAAATGGGCACAGAAAGATTAAATGACCTGCCCTAGGTCACACAGCTACTAAATGGTAGAGCTGGGGTAGAAGCAGAGCTCCCACATTTACCACTACTATGTATGACCACTTTATCTGCATTGGGGGCAAACAAAGACCCATATAGGAGTTACAATACAGCGTGATAACTGCTATAGTACTATAGCATAGACTCTGGAGGAATTAACTTGGCAGAAGGAGTTCCATGTGGCAGAAAGAAACATCGTGTATATGGAGAGCCATTGTTTCCTGTCTCTTGTCACTGGAACTCAGGATATAAGTAAAGGAGTAATAGGAAGTGAGGCTGGAGAAATTGGCAAAGATTTGTTTATGAAGGCCTTTTGAGATGGGCTAAGGTATTTGGCCTGTAGTTGGAAAGAAAGAGGAGCCATTAAGGTATTTAAAACAGAGGATTGGTAGAGATCAGATTTGTATTTTTAAATTATCACTTTAGCAAAAATGTAGAGAAAATATTGAAAATAGAAACTACTTACAGGACCACTATAACTACTGAGGCAAAAGGCAATGGGGGCCTAAATAAAGCACTGGTAATAGGAATGGTCCCTGAGGAGCACAGATGGTCTGAAGAGGTCTCTAGTAGGTAAAATCCACCGGACTTGATGGGATTTGATGAGAGTAGGGTAAAGATGCAAGAAGATTGAGATGAGTCTTGGCTTTTGGTTTCGTTGACCAGATAGATGGTAAGGAAATGAAATATGGATCAAGTTTAGTCATGGTGGTAGTGGTGGTGATGTGATACTGCTGTCCTTGAAGTGCTTAAAGAAACTCAGTGGATATATGCCTGGAGCTAAAGAGAGAGCTGGGGGCTTGGACAGAGACTTGAAATCATGATAAAAGTGAGAGCTAAAGGGCTAGGACTGGAGAGGAGAGGATGGAGAAGAGACCATAGATATTTCAGGGGAGAATGGGAGGGGAGAAAAATCAGGAGAGTGTGCTAGCAAGGAAGCTGATGGAGGAGTTTGTAGGGAGGAGTCATCTGTAGGGATAGATATTCCAGAAAAGTCATGGAAGAAAAGATCTTCAAGACATCCACTGGATTTAGCCACAAAAATGACCTTTGGAAAAGCTTTCTTGGTGTGTGATTGAGGATGGGTGAAGCCAGACTGTAGATAATGGACAAGTGAATGGAAGGTGGTGAAGTACATAGTAGACAACTCTTTGGATCTGTTTGGTAAAGAAAGGAGAGATGAAGAGAACGATAGCTAGAGTGGGACAAAGAATCATACAAGTTTATTGTTTTGTCTCCCAAGATAGTTGAAGGGGAAGAGCCAGTGTGAGGAGGCTGAAGGTGCAGAGAAAAGAAGCTCACCTTTGAAGATTTACTATGTAGTAGCTCTCTTACTCCTAACAATCTCATGAGAAAGGGACTATCATTTCCGTCTTATAGATGAGGAAACTGAGTTCCAAAGAAAGGAGGAGACTTACCCAAGGTTACTCAGCTAGAATCTTGGAGTGCTGAGCTGGAAACCTGGGTCTGCTGGATTTTTAAAATCCTGTCCTTTCCATTGCACTCCAAGAATGAATAAAAATACCATATATGAAACTGATGCTGGTGGGTGGGGAGGGACCACCACCCACCAAAGTTTAAGGTGACCCCACCCACCTACCTCATAATTTTCTTTCTATGAGGTAGACTAACAAAGAGGGGTGGGGTAATCAGTGAATAAAAGGAGGGATGAGGCCCTGAGCCCTTGGCTGCAGGGTATGTGAAAGTATGGAAACTCAAGCTCTGAGAAACCTGCCCGCCCACCCTGATGACATTTCAAACTGAGGTGGGTAACCTTGACACTGAAGCACTTAGGAACAGGAATGGTAAGGTCAGGGTTAGTCATTGAGCCAGGAGTGGTTTTGTAGGGCCTGAGGACTGTAGGAAGAGAAGAGTTGAACTTTGAGACAAAGGCTTTAGGCTGGGTCAGAGAGAAAGGAAAAAGGCTTAAGCCAGAGGAATGAGGAGGCAGTGTTGGCAATCAAAGGGACTCCTGGATTAAATTGGTCCTGGGGAGAATCTAGTTGTCATCAGAGAAGAAAACTTGCCCTGGAAACCTAGACTGTTTCCTGCAATCTGTTTTCATTTTATTTGAAATATATTCTTTGTAATGCCACCTCTTCATTTAATCACTAAACGTCATTCAATACCGATTTCCTGAATACTTCTGTTCCGAGATGTAGGGCCTTCATCTGAGGGAAGGTTATGTAAGGCTCGGGTGAGAGAGCTTTAGTCATATATGAAGGGCTATGAAGAGTTCAACTATATGAAAATGGAGTTAAGGGCTTGCCCCCAAAGATTGATGACAGCTTGACATCACAAAGTATGGTTCTATTAGCCTAGCCAGTGCCAGGCCAGAGCCACCTTACTAATCCACACATTCTGAACTGAGGAAAATGCATCTACCAAATTTCCAGCTATGATATAGCCATACTAGGGGTAGAGGAATGCAAAATGAATACAGGGTCATCACCCTGAAGTTTATACACTAATGGAGTATAGATAAGCTGAAATGTGGTGTGAACGCATAGCTGAAGTTCAGCTGTGAACCTCTGGAATCCCTGAGCAGGAAGAGGAGGAGGTTAGGGAAGGCTTCCTAGAAGTAGGAGTTTGAGGGGCAGACAGAAGAGTGGATGCAAGGCATCAAACTATAAAATGGCCTGACCTGTTTTGGCAGTGTCTTTGGGGCCTGAAATAAGACAGTGGGATTGGGAGTAAGAAGTAGAAGATCCATGAATGAATAGACTGATGGTAAAGGGCAGGGGCCAAGGGGTTGAAATGGAGGCTGGCATTCAGGCTTTTGATGGGTACCCTCATTCTCTCCCACTTGTTTGTCACCCACAGATCTGGCATTTTCTTGTGCTCATAATGAGAATAGTTCTCCAATTAGCCAAGATGAACCTCATGGACATCACCAAGATTTTCTCCCTCCTGCAGCCCGACAAGGAGGAGGAAGATACCGACACGGAGGAAAAGCAGGCTCTCAGTCAAGCAGTGTATGACAACGACTCCTATACCTTGGACCAGCTTTTGCACCAGGAGCGTTACAAACGTTTCATCAACAGCAGGAGTGGCTGGGGCGTTCCTGGGACACCCTTGCGCTTGGCTGCTTCTTATGGCCACTTGAGCTGTTTGCGAGTCCTTTTGGCACATGGTGCTGACGTTGATAGTTTGGATGTCAAGGCACAGACGCCACTTTTCACTGCTGTCAGTCATGGACATCTGGACTGTGTACGTGTGCTTTTGGAAGCTGGTGCCTGTCCTGGTGGTAGTATCTACAACAACTGTTCTCCCGTGCTCACAGCTGCTCGTGATGGTGCTGTTGCTATCCTGCAGGAGCTCCTAGGCCATGGTGCAGAGGCCAATGTCAAAGCTAAATTACCGGTCTGGGCATCAAACATAGCTTCATGTTCTGGCCCCCTCTATTTGGCTGCAGTCTACGGGCACCTGGACTGCTTCCGCCTGCTTTTGCTCCATGGGGCAGACCCTGACTACAACTGCACTGACCAGGGTCTATTGGCTCGTGTCCCACGACCCCGCACCCTCCTTGAAATCTGCCTCCACCATAATTGTGAGCCAGAGTACATCCAGCTGTTAATCGATTTTGGTGCTAATATCTACCTTCCATCTCTCTCCTTTGACCTGACCTCACAAGATGATAAAGGCATTGCATTGCTGCTACAGGCCCGAGGTGAGTGGTGAACAGGCCAGCCTCATAGTCTACCTGGCTTGGAGGTCCCAGGGCAAATTGCTGTCTAAACCAATCCTCTGAGATGCATTAGAGAAAACTCCATCTTCCTCCCTCTCTTGGGGCCCCAGTAGAGAAAAGGCTATGTATTCCATGTTCGAGAAAGGTCACTAAGACGAGGTTGGGTGGGGGTGGGAAGCACTAGCCCAATTTCTGGTTCTGGCTCTGCCAATGACTATTTTATTTCTTGGAAAGGATAGAGCATTAGGGCTGTAGTAGCCAGGTGAGGGTGGATGTAGGCTTGGGTGGGAGAATTATGCTGATAATTGCTCCTCATGATGTGTTTCTTCTTGCTCTAGCCACTCCACAGTCGCTCCTATCACAGGCCCGTTTAGTCATCCGCAGAGCCCTGTGCCAGGCTGGCCAGTTACAAGCCATCAACCAGCTGGATATTCCTCCTGTGTTGATTAGCTATCTCAAACACCAACTATAATCTTGCAGTCTGCCCAGGAACTTATGATGCCTTCAGAAACCACCTGGAGACTCAGGTAGCTGGAGGGCATTACAGCTCCACAATAAAATTCTCCAGAAAATAAGTCCCAGTGTCTGCTGTGTCTGGTGTGTGTGGACATGGATGGGGAGGTGGGTGTTACTGAGGGTAGGGGTGTTACTGGCCATGGGGAAAAATGGCAAATGGTTTGGTATCTGACAGGCACAGGAGTCTGTAAGAGCAAAAAGAAAAACTAACCCAATGGCCTATACCTCCCCAACAAGATCCCTTAGATAGTTTTGGGAGCTGTGTTGCCCTGTAAGCAAGGTTCTGAATAATACAAGAAGTGGGTGGAGGGGTAGCGTCAGCTTGCACACTCTTTGCCTCCCTTCAATTCTCTGGCTGCTGCAAGACACCTTTTCAGTAACTGTCCCCTAAACCCATATTACTTTGAGTCAAGTGACTGAGGAACCTCCCATTCACTCACATTGAGTCATAGGCTGCATTTCCACTGTTTCAATTTATAGTCAAGGTCTACCTGAGTAAACTAACTATCAAGTATTTATAACAGAATATCTAATGTGGAAAAGAAATTGGTTACATAGGTGATAGGCTGAGAATCCAAGTGAGACAAGCAGATAACCTAGAGACTGCAGAAAGCCAGCATGACTTCTAGGCTTGAGGGGTGAGGGAGGAGGGAAAGGGGTCATCTGATGAAAGTAAAATCACAGGCCTGCCCGCAGGCGCTAGAGCCACAGATGAGAAATGTGCCTGAGCTAGAGGAAAGGAAAAAGTAGCCTCTTCTTTCCCTCATCCCTGCCCTTCAATATCTGCCTCTGAGGTCTCTCTCATTAAGGAAACCAGAAGTCATTTAATATTGGAACCTAGGAAACACAGCTTACAGGGGTCAACCCCCTTGCAATCAGAGTGAGGGTGAGGTGGTGAAGAATGGAGGGACAACAGGAGAAAGTAGTATGACATAAACCAGGAGCTGGAATCACACAGCAAAACTGGAAATATGTTGATGGCAGGAGCCACAGAGGAGACACAGCAGAGGCACCACCCAAGGCAGAGAAGGCAGAGGCTAAGTACCCTGGCTTCTCCATTTTCCCTGCCTTCCCACCAGTGCCTTCTATTGGTTAAACCCAGCCAGAAGGTAGTTGGCTTGGGAGCCTGGGAAACGCAGTCCGTAGGGTTCAGAACCCCCATGTGGAGAACAGAGGAAGGAGTCAAACAGACCCTGGAGCAGCGCAGATATCCACTTAAATCCAGAGAAATTCATTTTACTAAATTTTAATCCTTCTACAGGACCTTCTTGTATTTTTCTTGTACAACTGTGTGTGGGGACGTGGATGAGCAGTGAAAGGGACACAAGATTAAGGAGTAGAGGAGGAGAGCCCAGATAACCTGTGCCCAGGAAGCACTTTAGATATTTAGAGCTCTTCCTGGGAGCAACTTTAATGGTCTCCTACATCATGCTCCCATATCGCTGGGAAAAGAAGGCAGAGCATGGAGTCTTAATCTGATTTGCCCTCACCTCTCTCACCTCCCCACTTTCCATAGGTACTCCTGCCTGAGAGACTTTAGGAAGGAAGGTGAGAAAACTGGACATCTATCTCCTTGCTTCTGCCCCATCCAGCTTTCAGATTCTCATTGTTAGGCACTTTGGAAAACAGTGTAACTGTTGTCCTCTAAAGAGCATGAGAACTAAAGAACTGAGGGCTTCAGGGTAGGCATCCTCAGCTCTCTTCTACCTTTCTTTCATTCTGGGCTCCTGAGCAGTAGTTTCTGCAAAACCACACCCCTAGCCCTGCCTGCCATTCCCTTAGTAAAGACCTTGGGGACTGAGTCAACCTCAGCAGCCCTGTCTGCTGTAATCCCCCAGGAAAGTACACCCTTCAAACGGGGCCTGGCCAAAGTGTCCTCCTTCATGGCATCTGGGACACAGATTCACTGGTTGCCACATGAAGGCACATGGACACTTCGGGCATTTCAAAGTACTTGTGTTGGAGGAGGTTACCGGAATGTATAAAATTCTAGGTAAAGATGAAGGACCAAAACTCTTAGCCCCAATTTCCCAGATTAGGGAATTGAGGACTCAACTAAAGTAAGTGCCCACGTTATTTGTGGTCCAGCTCTTCAGAGTACTCCTAGCTGTTTTTTCTCCAATTGCCTGCGCTGTTAGTGAGAAGAGCAACTTCAAGGCCTGGTGCCTTAATTTTTTTCCCCTCCCCAGGCCTCATCATTCCCATCCAGAAAATGGGCCAGAGGTTGGAATGAATCTTCTCAAATTCTTAATGTTGTTGTACTTCCCAAATTCATATGTTGAAACCTAATCCCCAGTGTAACAGTATTAGGTGGTGAGGCCTTTGGGAAGTGATTAAATCTTGAGGGCTCCAGTTTCATGAGTGGGATTAGTGGCCTATAAAAGAGGCCCCAAAGACACACCTCACCCCTTTCACCATGTGAGGACACAGCAAGAAGAACTGTTAATAAACTAGAAAGTCACCAGGCACCAAATCTGTTGGCACCTTGATCTTGGATTTTCCAGCCCCCAAAACTGAGACAAATAAATTTCTGTTGTTTATAAATTGCCCGGTCTAAGGTATTTTGTTACAGCAGTGCAAGCAGACTAAGACATCTCCCTTTCTTCCTTCCTGACATTGCCATTAGCCTGGATCTTGGTCCTGCTTTGCACATGCCACTATCAGTCTGCACTCTCTCTTGCAATGGAAAAATTCTCTTGCTTTATTCAAAAAGATGGCCCCTAAGGACTAGATTCAAAGTGTAAAATGGCCCACGGGACTCCAGAAACCAGAGAGATCCCCATTCAGCTGCTAACTTGACAGAAAACCTCATGGAGAAGGTGGTATTTGATCTTTGCTTTGAATGGTGGGAAGAATTTTAATCAGCAGAGAGGAAGCAGAAGGCATTAGCGAAGGGAACTCTATGAGCAAAAGCATAGAAGTGGGACAACGCAGGGCAGTTTGATTTGAGTTCAGTGAATTTGAACGGGAGCTAGGTTGAGTACTAGACTGAAGAGAGCCATGAATACCTTGGTTCTTTAGACTTGAAGGTTTCAGTTCTTAGAATGGGACACTTACAGTCACAAAAGTGACTTGCTGAGCATGTAGAGAACATGATCCCTGATTTCCAGGACATATCTGCTAGCATTAACTGAATCACTGTCTTGTGTGCACATATCAATTTACTGCTTACAAGTTATTTCCACACCTATAATTTCATTTACTTCTTAGAACAATTCTGTGAGGTAAGCAGAACAGTTTTTGTACAGATGTGTCAACCAAAGCCCAGAGAAAGGAGTGGACTTGACACAGTGAGGCAGTGGCAGAGCCACATGTGTGTATGTTAGCACTGAAGCGGGATGGTGCATGGAGGTTGCAAGCGCTGACTTCATTTTCCAGGCCTGGGATCCCCAACCCCCAGGACGGAGCTTGGCACTAAGGAGTGATATAGCAAAGTAGGAAAAGATGGGAGCCCCAGTAACTGGGGCTAAAGGGGCTGGGGTAAGCCACAGTGAGGGGCTGGGCATATGGGAGGATCAGAGGCCTCCCTCCCCCTGCCTAGGGCTCAGAGGGGCCCCAGTTCTACTTTGCTGGTTATTTCCAAACTCTAAAGGGGCTTCATTGTTCCCTCAGCCCTGAGGAAACCCTGTTCCTAAATACTCAAGTCAACGATCATCTGCTTCATCCTGGTATCTTCTGAGCTCTATCCACTTACAGGCACAGAAGACATTAGCTTCCAGCTACTAGCCTACTTGCTAGCTCCTACTTTGCCAGTCTCCAAGTAAGCTGCTTCCTCCCAGGAGAAAAGCAGAGGCTAGGCTGGTGGCAGAATCTGGTCCAGTGATACCTCCAATGCTCTACCTTGCAGTTTCTTCACCTCCTTGACTTTCGTGCCAATGCTCACTCTCCATTTTAGTATCCTTGGCCTTACTGGAAATGTGCATTCCCCTTTCTAGTCAGAATTGCTTGTTTTCCCAGAAGATACATTCCTGGAATGCCACAGTCTGATTCCATAGAATCTACTCAACAAATATTTATTGAGTACCTATTCTGTGCCAGACACTGTGTTTCAGGCACCACATAACTCAAATTTATCTCCGTTTCCCTTCTCCCCTGTCTTCCCTTCCCTCATTGTCCATCTTTGAGTCTGTCTTCAATCACTTCAGTCTCCACACTAACTTTGGATCAAGCCGTTGTTCTCTCCTAAGCTTGGTCTAATGAACACCATAGAAGAACTTGAAATGACTAATCATCATAGAAATCTAAAGAATTGAGAGCAGAGTGATGGTTACTAGAGGCTGGGGGACTTCGTGGGGAAAGAAATGGGGGATTATTTGTCAAAGGGTACAAAGTTTCAGATAAACAGAATGTGATGGTTAATACTGAGTGTCCACTTGATTGGATTGAAGGATGCAAAGTATTGTTCTTGGGTGTGTCTGTGATGTTATTGCCAAAGGAGATTATTAATATCTGAGTCAGTGGACTGGGAGAGGCAGATCCCACCCTCAGTCTGGGTGGGCACAATCTAATCAGCTGCCAGCTTGGCTAGAATAAAGCAGGAAGAAGAACATGGAAGAAATAGACTGGCTGAATCTTCCAGCCTTCATCCTTCTGCTGTGCTGGATGCTTCCTGCCCTCAAACGTTAAACTCCAAGTTCTTGAGCTTTTGGACTCTTGGACTTACACCAGTAGTTTGCCAGGGGCTCTCAGGTCTTCAGACACTGACTGAGGCGGCAATATCAGCTTTCCTACTTTTGAGGTTTTGGGACTCAGACTGGTTTTCTTGCTCCTCAGCTTGCACACGGACTATTGTGAGACTTCACCTTGTGATTGTGTGAGTCAATACTTCTTAATAAACTCCCTTTTATGTATACATATATCCTATTAGTTCTGTCCCTCTAGAGAACCCTATTACAGATTTTGGTACCAAACGTGGAGTGGTTCTAGAGGAACAGAATGTTGATGATGGAGTTCTTTAGTTGGTTTTGGGGTTTCTGGAGTTGGCTGCTTACTATGATTAGACTCCCAAATGTTAAGAATTCTACTTCTAATAGTATGGAGAACACTGATAGTCCTTGGTG